CCGGGATCGGTTGAGGATAGTGACGGTGGCCAGAGCATATAAGAGCATGTAAGTGCATATATGAGCATGTAAGAGCATGTAAGTGCATATAAGAGCATGTAAGAGCATGTAAGTGCATATAAGAGCATGTAAGAGCATATAAGAGCATGTAAGAGCATATAAGCCGTGGGTGAGAAGGGACAAATGGCCACCACAGAGTGGCCTCCACAAGGCCTCAGTTTCCTTCTGCTGGGTAGACTGTGCAAAGTGAGTTCCAGATTCAATTCTGTTGGCAGCTCAGACATATCCAGAAGGGACCCTAGGATCATGCCTTCATCCCCATTCCTGCACCCTGGGACCCCATTCCTACTCCTGTCCAGCCCCTCCCCTTACAGTGCCCCTAAGGCTTTTCTGCCTGTGGTGGGGCTCTAAGCCCTGGGTACCCTGAGAATCCTGTGCCTCGGTACCCAGTGTTGAAATCAGAACACTCCTTCCTCAACCTTGCCCCCGCCCCAGCAACCCCACCTCTATCTCTGATCTCCCACCAGACACAGGATCCGTCCACAGCCCTCACTCCTACTACCCTGATCCAGTACACCTGCGAGAACAAAGGCAAAGACAACTTGCCTGGAGCCTGGAAGCCCCTTGCTGAGTTAGACAGCCCCTTCCCTGTGGGCAGAAAGCCGCCTCGTCTAAAAAAAAAAAAAAATGTGTGTAGTACTAGGCCCAGCCACTAGAGGGAGCTTCTGCAAAGATTAAAGAGCTGAGGCAGCGAACTGGGTGTATAGCAAGGGTCCACGGTCAGCTGTTAGTATTAGAAGGCTATGATCATTTCCCTGCTAATTGTTGAAGTGGAGACTTAGAGGAGCCACCCTACCAGGCTTCCTGAGACACACAGGGAGAAGGAACTCGGGGTTGTGTGCTGAGTGTGTGTACCTCCTGTCTCTGGGCCTTCCTGCTTCTCCATCGGAATCTACCTCTGCACCCTTGCGCCTGCCGTTCCCGCCCTTCCCTCTCCTCACCCATTTAGATCCTGAAATCCTTTAAGGGCAGACGTGTCCTTTCTCCTCCAGAAATCCCTACTGGAGGTTGCAGCCTGTAACAGTTCAAACCTGCCCTACGTGGGTCCCTCACTTCACCCATCTGTGCTCGGGGTTTCTAGCCTTCTACGCCGATGACAGGCTTCTACACCAAAGCCATGGTGGAGCCTGGCATCGCAGCTGTGCACGCCAAGCTCGGGTTCTGACCTGTAGGAACTACTGAAGAACCCGGCTAGCTTTTGGGTTCTGCCTGGAAACACGGAGACAGCAGTCATGCTGCGTTCACTGATTTGACACGCGGGGCCCTGTTGGCCGGTGACTGTCCCTGGGCTGACTCCTCCCCAATCTTCAGGTCCCGGCTCCGCCTACCAGCATGGCAGTTGGCTGGCCTTCCTAAACAAAACCTTTGGCATGTGCTAGCAAATGGAATCCACTGCACCCTGGTCGAGCCCTTTACAATATCCAGGATTCCAGTGGCTAGCCCAGAGCATGCCTCTGTGGTGGACTGAGTAGGCTCGTACATCTGAATGCTTGGTCGTTAGGGAGCGGCACTACCTGACAGGGATTAGGAGGCGTGGCCTTGTTGGCGGAAGTGAGTCAGTGGCAGTGGGCTTTCAGATGGAGAACTTTCCGCTCCTTCTCCAGCACGACCATCTGCGTGCAACCATGCTTCCGGCCACGCCGATAAAGGACTAAACCCCTGAAACTGTAAGCCAGCCTCCACTAAATCTTTTCCTTTGTGAGACCTGCCTTGGTCATGGAGTCTCTCAAGGCAATAGAACTCTGACTGAGATGCGCTCCATCCTATGGCTGACATGGAGTTACCACCACTCCCCAATCTTCCTGGTTCTCTGGGGAGCGGGGAGAGTGGTTTCATACCTCAGCAAACGGCGTTTGACCCCTGAGATCTACAAAGGTGGGCAGACTGAGGTCTGGCCTGGGTAAAGGACATAATCTCTGAAACAGGTTCCTGACCCGAGGGCCCCTGACAAATCCTTCCTGGGCTGCCCAGGAAGCCACTTTCCCTGTGCCGGCCTTATGGCTCCAAGTTGATATCCCACCTGGCCAGTCCAGAGCCACCAGATCCTAAGTCTCTCAGCTAAACAATGGTGTCGTCTGCAGGAATCCTTTCTCTTGTGACATCTATCTCCTGGGCCTAAAGGAGGCAGAGCGTACCTTGAGGAAGGGGGGAGGGGAAGGATAAAGGGAGACTGGGAAGACCAGAGACAGAACAACGACCCGAAACATTGCACCACGCCTGTGCAGTTTTTTATGCAATCGCTTTGGCAAACGGAATTTAGAGGCAAATACTTGCGGGAGGAATTGGGTTGTTTAAACTGACCCAGAGGCTCACATACTGTGTTAGAGACGAACGAAATCGGGATGTGTAATCAAGACAAACGTGGATCTCTCTTTCCTGTCAGACTCAGTCTTGGGCTGGTGTGGCGACGGTGTTGGGGACGCCTTGCTAGAAGTGCTTGTTTTTAGAGTCCGTGGTCCAGCCACCACCAAGGAGCCCAGGTTGGTTTCTTTGCTCTCACTCCATTGGTTAGAACTGAACAAGGCCGCCCTCGCCCAAGGGAGGCTGGGAAATGCAGTCCTTTTGCTCCACACGCTGCTTTGCTAAAAGGGGTTGCAGGAGGCAACCAGAAGGGTCTTCTTTATAAGAGCTCACTTTCTCAAGCTCAGAGGGCTTTCGATGCCCTCCCATAGCCACCGCCGTGGCCAGAGACCCAGAGAGGACTTTCTGCGCCTGTGCTTTCTGGACAGAGAGTCAAGAGGACAAGGTGGATGGATGTCAGGCCCGGTGGAAGAGGGCTGCAGTACACCCAATCCAGGGAGCCCAACCTAGGGAGCCACCACAGCCGGGGGCCTCCTTGAACCCCGCCCCATCCCCAACTTGCTCCACTCTGTCCATGCCAGGTGGTGCCCTGAGTATTTCAGGGCATGGCTTTTTAAAATGTTTTTGGGTTTTGGTTTGGTTTTTTGTTATTTGTCTGCGGGTATGTCTGTGAGGTTGTCAGAACCCTGGAACTGGAGTTACAGTTGGTTGTGAGCTGTGATGTGGGTGCTGGGAACTGAACCTGGGTCTCTTAGAAGAGCAGCCAGTGTTAACGGCTGAGCTATCTCTCCAGCCTCCAGGGCACAGCTTCTGTTATGATTGAATGTGAGATGTCCCTGCAGGCTGGAACATTAAACACTGGTATTGGTCCCTGCCTGGTGGTGCTGTTTTAGTATTTTGCGGAACTTTTAACATATGGGTGGCTTAGCTGGCAGGTGTGGGCCCCTAATCATGGGCCTTGAGGATTATATCCACTTCTGATTTGGCCTGAGTTCTCCACTGCCTGGTTTGTGGAGGTGAGGAGACCCTGCCTCCCGTTCTACCACCATGGTCTCCCGGATATGGCCGTCTAAAATCTCTCTGAAATCGTACATGTAAATAAACCTGTCTCTACAATGCTGTTTCTGTCATGGTATGTGGTCACAGCACACAGATGTGAGTTTGGGGTGGGAAGGGCATTGTGGAAGACTCCAGCTGGGCTACCAGAGAGTGCTCACTCCCCTGGAAAGAGGGAGAAATCTGAGGTGACTCACAGTAAGTCATCCAGGACAGGATGAACCAGGGTGTGTCCACTAATGTCAAGGCCTGCCCAGAGAAGAGTGACCCATCCAGTGCCCTCAGTCCAGAGAACCTGAGTTGTGGTCCCCCAAGGTTTCCTGGACAAGGTTCAAGCTTCTTCTGCCAGCCAGCAGCCCCCACAGCAGACATACCCATGCCAGACACAGTGCCCAGCTTCCCTTGCAATAGCCCTCTGAGACAGACCCTCAGATTTGCAGAGAAACTGTCATCCATAGTTATTGTGTATGTGTGTGTGTGTGGTGTATGGTGTGTACCTATGAATGTGAGGTGTACATACCCATGACCACACATGCAGAGGCCAGAGGAAGACATCGGATGGCGTAGTTACTCTTTGCTTTATTGCCCCGATGCAAGATCTTTTGCTGAACCAGAGGCTGGCTGTTTTAGCTAGGCTAGCTGGCCAGCAAGTTCCCCAAATCCACCTGTCTCTGTCCCCCAACACTGGGGTTACAGGCCTGCACAGCGCTGCCCAGCTTATTACCCAGTACCGGGGAATCTAACCCAGGTCCTGGGGCTCGCCAACTGAGGCATCTCCCCAGCCCCATTTATTTTTGATGCTTTCATGGAAGCAACACTGTATGTGTATGTAAATGGCCTCCAGCCTCCACCTAGGGACAGTTCCTGAGGGCCGAGAGCCACTTGGTAACCAGCTTTCTAGCGCACAGTCTCCTCCATGCTACTATTAGGTCTTCCCCACAGACTTCACCCATTAGCACTACAGCTGCCAAGAGGCTCTGGGGAAGGCGGGTGTGGACCAAGTCCCGAGAAGGCCACACTCCTAGTAAGCTGCCAGGCTACGCTGACGCGGCTGGGGACCACGCTTTGAGAAAGCTCTGGCCAGGTGATACCCCATAGGGTGTCCTGTTGGGCCATAGGGAAGGGTGCAGTTTCCTCTGGCCCAGAAAGCATTCACTCGCACCTGCCAAGGACCCAGCTGGTTGTGAACTCTGAGGTGAGGTTGCATACAGAGGGGAGGTGGGTGGACAATACCAGCCCTGTTGGGGAGGAGATGCCCTACTTAGCCCGCAGAGGTTCTGGCATGTGACCTCGAGACCCACAGGCCTTAGCTGGGCATTTACACACACCGGTGGCCCCCAGGCAGCCCCAGCAAACGGGACACACAGGGGCTGGTGCAGAGTGGACGCTGTGGCCAGCTCACCTGCTGCTCCCGGGCCACCGCAGCACCACCAATCCATCCGACTCCTGTCTTGCATGGGTTTTCCCTTGGGGACCCTGGGCAGACTACACCCAAAGCAAGAGCCAGGCTCTCCTGGGAGGGCAGAGATCTAAAGCAGACGGAAACACGGAAACAGACAAAGCACCAGGCCCACACAGGGAGGTGGGGAGGTCCAGGAAGCATGTTTAATTGGCCAGACACAGACAACATACAGCAGGAGCAGGGCGGAGGCCTGGACATGCGACAAAGCCCGTCACCCCTGGCCTGCACCACCAGGCCAGGGTCTCCCTTTCTCCCCACACGACAGACAGGACGGCACCCCAAAAAAGACTCGAGGATGCTGGAAACGCAAGCAGGGAAGGACGGGAACACCACAGCCAGAACATCACCTTCCCTGGATTCGGTTTTTAAGTTACCCAAAGCCCTTCAGGAGCCTGTCACCCCTGCAGGGCCTCTAGCTGCTTTACTCATAGCCCTCATGGTACCCCTGCAAGGTGGCTGACCTCCTTCTGAGGCAGAGAGAAACAGATCCAATGAGTAAGGTGACTCCCCCAAAGTCCCAGAGGGATTTGGAGACTGAGTTTGTCCAGGGATAGAGTGACAAAGAATGCTGGGTGTTACCCCCACCCTAGGAAGCAGACAAAACCTGAACCTAGTGCCAAGACAGGAGATGGGACCAACTGTTTATTCAACAAAAGCCTTTTTATTCATTCAAAAATTAACCATTGGGTTTATTCTGCAGATATTTTTTTAAAAAATTAAAGTTGGGGGGAAGCTTCCCACTGTGCCCTTTTGCCAACTACCTCGCCAGTCCCAGATGACCTAGAGGGGCAGGTGGGAGACACGCTGCCAGATATGTCCGGCTAGGGGACCAGGGCCTCTTGGACCACAGCCTCCTTGGCCTTCAACTTCTGGACCACTGCAGCCCCCAGGCGACACTACAGCTCATCACCACCAGGGGGAGCCCTGTAGTCCTTGAATCACGTAAATTAGGAAATAACGCTGGGAGGAAATCGCCTTGGCTTTCTGCTTGGCCAGAGTAGGGGGCTTTCTCTGGAGAGATGCCAGGGAACCCCAGGCACCCTACACTCCACCATCCCCTAGAAGAGACAATGTCCCCGAAGGCCCAAATGCGTCTTCACAGGAAATCAACTGCCAAACTGCAGGGCATTTAAAGGAAGAGATGCCAATGCCACACACATATGCCTCGTTATTTTAAACCTGGCTAGATATCACAGAGTCGTGACGAGCTATAAGTCACCATCCACACAAAGTGGGGAGCAAATGCCTGGAAGAAGAGGGGGGCACAGCATCCTGGCCCCAGGAGGGAGGGTCTGCAGAGGGCCTCACAGGCTGGGCCACACCCCTAAAGAAAGCAGCATCAGATGGGGTGGGGCTCGGTGGAAATGAACTTGGGAAGAGGCCCTCCGGCCGCTCAGAAGAGGCCCAGCCTCGGATTCTGGGCGTGCTGTGTGCCACAGCTAACGGCTGGTGAAAGAGGGGCGGAAGGCAGTCAGCCCGCACCCTTGGATGGAAACAGAGTCCAGCATCCTGCCAGGAAGAAGGCAGCCCAGAGCTGTCTCCAACGCTTGGGCCCAAGGACATAAACTGCAATGACCAAAAAACGCCACACTTGAGGCTGCAAACCAAAAAGCCAAGATGGCCGAGAAGAAACCTGGGCCCACAGACTCGGTGAAACCCGTGCTTAAACCTTGACAGTCCACAGCTAGGAACCCACTGAGTTGACATCACCCAACGTGCCGCTGTGAGAGAGGGCAACCGAGGTTCCAGAGACCACAGAGAGTCCACTCTCGCCCTCTTAACCTGAGTCACCACATCTACTTCCTGTCCTAGAGGCCCTGGCGGGAAGCTGACCCAGAGAAGCCTCCAGGAAAACGGCCTGCAGCTGACGGCGGAATGCAGAGGCAGGACAAAGCCACCTCCAGATGGGGGACACCATCCTCCAGTCACAGCTGCTCACCCACAGGTCATTAGCAAGGAAGAGTTTGGCCTCCCAGGAGTATAGTGGACATTACGGGAGGGCCGGAGGGAGCAGAACAAAATCCAGGGGCCATTTCCCCCCCCTCTCGATGGTGACCAGAGAGGCTACATACACTAGAAGCAAGAACTGTGGTCCAGGCCTGCCTCTCTGTAGCTGGGAGGCCTTGTCTCACCTGAGGAAGCTGCCCAAGGTGAGGACGAGCCCCAGAGGAGCTCAGGAGACTAGCGGGCGCTACAGAGGGGCTAAATGGGGTGCCGTCAGACACTCAGGGCCTCGCAAACACAACCACAAAACAGTGTCACAGGCGCAGGAACCCAAGCTCCAGGCTGGGAGTCAGACGCCAGCGAGACCAGCCACCAGGTCCCCTAGCCCCGCTGACTGAGAGGGCAGACTACAAAATCCCAGAGGAGCCCAACCGTGGGCTCCTTGCTTCTGGTCTACGGCTGCCTGGTGTTCCTGGTGGCAGAAACGGAGCTGCCCCTGGCTCTGGACTCAGTCCTGGAGGAGCAGAACCTCCCTCCGCAGCATAGCCTGGTCCTCTCCTGTCACCCTCCTTCCCAGACTCCAAGCAGGGAGAAGCCATGCAGTCTGCCGCCAACAGGCAGACGGGGAAGGAAAGCCCAGGAGTTCACGGGTCACACGCACCCCTAGCTGATGCAGACCACACTTCACACTCTGCACACAGTGTGCCCTCCCCCAGCTCCCACTCCCGGAACCAGGTTCTCCGTTTTCTCTCTGCTGTGAACCTCAGAGCAAGAGTTGCAAAAAAAAAAAAAATCCCATTTGTCCTTGAAGAAAGTGTTATGGACTCCAAGGAGAGGGCTGGGAACTGCAGGGCAGAAGCTGGGGAACAGTACACTCGCCACTTAGGAACGCCCACCTCCCCCTCTCCAAAAAATGGAGCACAGTATCTGAAAAAGAAGAGGAAGAGATTTTTGGCTTCTTGGCCGCTGCAGGCCACCATCCTCCCAAGTGAGGCGGGCAGGTGGGTGAGGGTATGCACATGTAAACGGAGGCCCAGCATCCCTGGAGTTTCAGACACACAGGGTAGCAGCAATAGTTAACAACCAATAAATAAAAGGTATCGATTATATGAGTATAAAAAAAAAAAACCTCACTCTCCCCCACGGAACGCACAATACTGTTATCACACGGGCCAGCATCACTAACCATCCTTGTCTGCCAGCGGCCTCACTGCTAACGGCCGGGCTGCAAGCCCCTGGCCACCGCTTGCAGAGGGCCAGGCAGAGACGGAGTTCTCTGAGACCCAGAGGCCTCCTCCCGCGGGTCAGTATCTTCTAGAACAGAAGGTAGTTTGTTTTCTTTTACGGTGTCCACTTGAAATGAGAAAGCGCGCACTCGCAGGAGAGCAGCAGGGATGACACAGGCTGCCCCAGGGAGACAGCCAAGTCCTTGGTCTGGCGGAGGGCTGGAGCCGTTTCCATTTGGGTTCGTCGCTGATTTGGACAAGCGGAGGTTGTTGACCATTGGAACCAGTGGCTTCAGGCGGCAGGTGGGTGCGGGGAGGGGGGGGGAGAGAACCGGCCGGGAGGCTCACGGGCGGCCGGCTGCGTGTAGATGAGGAAGGCTGGGTGGGCACGGGGGCGGTGTCAGACTGCGGCGGCCTCGTGGCACAGGAAGAGGCGAGCTGTTCCCACGCATCTGCAGGACAGAGGGAGGGAGGTATGTTAAAGGGATCGTCCCTGGGGGCCTGGCTTCTAAACTTTGTGAGTTTGAATAGCTAGATGTGGGTGGCGGGAAGAGACTCAGGCCCTCTTTAGTACTCCACTGAGTGTGCCACAACCAAAATTCATTCTAAATCAAGCGTCCCTAGTCTGAGATGTTTCGGGGGGCGCCCGCCCGTCCACGTGGTATCTTGATCCAGAGCACACAACCTGCACCCTTGTCCTCACACCACACGGCGCCAAGGCTGCCTGAAACAGCTTCAGTTTAAGACTGTGTGCTATTAATTGTAGCGTCTTTTTGTTTTTGTTTACTGCATCTACAAAATTTTTGTTCTTACAGAAGCATCATGAGTTAATTACTAAAAAGGAGTTTCAATGTTTTCCACAGTCGTTTCTCCACACACATCAAATTGGTATACCTTTTTAAATTGTATCCTGTTAGAACATTTGATTTTAATTTTTTAGATTTAATTTTTTGTGAGACCACACAGTACCCAGAGGAGCCAGTAGGGGGCACTGGATCCCCAGGACCTGGAGTTGCAGTCAGCCTGCCGTGGATGCTAGGAACTAAATTGGGGTTCTCTAGAAGAGCAGCAAGTGCTCTTAACTGCTATGCCATCTCTCTGCTCCAGCCCCTAGGACATCTGATTTGAAAACGTGTTTGAATTTCAGCATGGAAGAGGGAGGAGCACATAGGGCCTCACCTCTAGCTGAGAGGGAATCTCTTTAGTCACTAATGAGCCACCTGTGTAAATGACTCCATGCTTTTGTGATTTGTTTTGCTTTGCTTTGTTTTCTTTTCTTTTTCTCTTTTTTTTTTTTTTTTTTTTTCGAGACAGGGCTTCTCTCTGTAGCAGGTCTGGCTGTCCTGGAATGCACTCTGTAGACCAGGCTGGCCTTGAACTCACAGAGATTCCCCCAAGTGCTGGGATTAAAGATGTGCGCCACCACGGCCACAACCTGACCTGGCTTGCTGACCTGAATTTTATTAAAAAGAACATGTATTAAATGAATTTTGGCCACGGGTTAGCACAGAATTCTGGAAAGTCTCTGGACACACTTCTGCCGCTTCATACTATGTACTTATGTGAGGCTGTGTTCTAGGACAGCTCTGAAGATAGCAGAAGATGACTCACATCCCGTGGCGTCAAACCTTTAGCCACAATTAAAATCTTTATATAAAAATAAATAACATCTATTGCATTCATATTCAATTTGCTTTTTGTCTTTCATGATAAAATTATATATGCAACGAAAACTGCTTTTAAAATAAATTTCTTTTTTGTTTTGTTTCTTTTTGTTTGTTTTTCGAGACAGGGTTTCTCTGTATTGTTTTGGAGGCTGTCCTGGAACTCACTCTGTAGACCAGGCTGGTCTCGAACTCACAGAGATCCGCCTGCCTCTGCCTCCCGAGTGCTGGGATTAAAGGCGTGTGCCACCAACGCCCGGCCTCTAAAATAAATTTCTTAATGATTTATTAGCAGTAAGTCTCTGATTTTATGTTTATTTATTATACACCAAGATTTGGGTCAACGTGGGGTGGTGGTGGCTCACACCTTAATCCTAGCACTCAGGACGCAGAGGCAGGTGGATCTCTGTGAGTTCGAGGCCAGCCTGGTCTACAAAGTGAGTTTCACAACAGGCTCCAAAGCTACAGTGAGACCCTGTCTCAAAAAAAAAAAAAAAAAAGTTGTGTCAAATTTTCTCACTCAAAAGAAGCGTCACAAGCAGAAAAAGAAGTCTGTGGAACCTAGAGGGCGCCAGAGGGGAAGTTGGCATTCTGGGCTGGAAACCCTGAAAAGTGCACCAGACCTTTGACTCAGCAACAGGACTCTTCATATTTATCCCTAAGAATAAACAAGATGCTGTCCACAGTACTGTCTTCAGTTACGAGGACTGGCCTGAGAGTCCAACATCAGGGGGCCGGTTGGGTAAACAGGGTAACTGCTTACAACCGTTAGCATCCGCCTGTAGGTAGGATGAAGTCATTGAGGACCTGTCAGAGCCGCAGCCTCTTCAGCCTGTGAGAACGGCCATCATACATTCCAAGGGAAACACCAGTGTCAACAAAGGGCGTGGAGGCACTGGAGCCCCTGTGCCTGGACGGTAGGGACGGAGATGGTGGAAAACAGCAGCGCCTGGCCGTAACCCCCATGGGTGATGCACCCAACGGTGTTTTAAAATGGCCTTGATTTACGGCTCCGTCAGGCCTGCCGACACAACTCGACGGAACTGGTTCCATACAGGAACCTGGGGTAGCCTAACTCCGTGCTCCTGGGTCATGTTCACCCACTTTTTTTTTTGGTTCCAGAACAGACTATTTCTTACCTCTTCAAGCAGCAGAGAGCTGTGTATTTTGTGTCAGCATGACAAAGATGCATATACAGGGCTGCAGTTGTGACCTGGAGTTGTACGCCTTGGGCGTACAGTATGACCACATCTCAACAAAGCCACCATTTCAGAATGAAGCTGCGGCACGTGCTGTGATAGGGACAGCCCAGGGAGGCGTGCTGAGGGGGAAAGCCAGGCTCACAATGGGTAGGTCCAAAGAGACAGCCTGGCCGGCAGGGCTGGGGAGAAGCCGGGTGTGGAGCTGACTTCAGAGAACACAGTTTGTTAGAACCGGGAGGAGGCGACCGTTGCATAACACTATGAATATACTAGATACCACCAAACTGTGTGCATGCGTGCGTGCGTGCACTCCTCTGGGAATTAAATCAGTCTCTCGTGTGCCAGGGAAGGACTCCCATATGCTACTACATCAGCAACTCCTTTTTTTTTTAGAGATTTATTTATTTATTACGTATACAGTGTTGTGTCTGCATGCGTGCCTGCAGGCCAGACAAGAGCATCAAATCTCATTATAGATGGCTGTGAGCCGCCATGTGGGTGCTAGGATTTGAACCTGGGTCCTCTGGAAGAGCAGCAAGTGCTCTTAACCGCTGAGCCATCTCTCCAGCCCCTCTTTCTTTCTTTTTTTTTTTTTTTAATGTTAAGACCTTAATGCAGGCCTTTTCTTTTTTTCAAGACAAGGTTTCTCTGTGTAGCCCTGGCTGTCCTAGAACTCACTTTGTATACCAGGCTGGCCTCCAACTCACAGAGACCCATCTGTCTCTGCCTCCTGAGTGCTGGGATCAAAGGTGTGTGACGCCACCGCCCAGCTCTAGGCAGGCCTTCTAAACTCAAGAGACCCCTGCTTCGGCCTTTGACCAGCTGGGATGATGGGGGTGACAGGAGTCTGACAAGGGATGACAGGCCTATGCCACCAGGCCTGGCTGAACGGTCGGTCCACTTTAAAATGGTTGCTTTGGTACTCAGTTCCCCTCGTGGACCCTCTTATTGAAAGCACATGGGGTCCTGTCTTCTACCCCACAGAACCTTCCCTGGAACCGGTCAGCCTCCCAACCATGTTACCGTGGGATATGGGGTCCTGGAGGCCTCCTGATTAGACAGTTGGGGGAACCGTCCAGCCCAGCTGACTCCTGATCTATGAGGACCAGAAACCCTTATCTAGGCCAATTCAGTTTTCTCTCTCAGGATGAAAACCAGCAGAAAGGAGGCATTCAATGATGTCCCTGGAAGAAAGACCCCACAGGGAGTGTCCTGGCTAGTTTTATGTCACCTTGGCACAGGCTAGCGTCGTCAGCGAGGAAAAGGGAGCCTCAGTTGAGGAAACGTTTCCGTAAGGTCAGGCTGTAGGCAAGCCTGTTGGACATTCTTGTAATTAGAGATTGATTTTTGTGATTAGTGATTGATGGTACTATAGTGAGTGGTGCCACCCCTGGGCAGGTGGTCCTGGGTTCTATACAAAAGCAGGCTGAGCAAGCCATGGGGAGCAAGCCAGTAAGCAGCACCCCTCCATGGCCTCTGCATCAGCTCCTGCCTCCAGGTTCCTGCCCTGTTTGAGTTCCTTCAGTGATATGGATTTGTAAGTCAATAAACCCTTTTCTTCCCAAGCTGGTTATGCTATTTCATCACAGGTACAGTCACCTTGACTAAGACAGTGGAAATGTCTACGACAGCCAGGACACAGGAATAAAGGGAGGAAGTGGATGGGCAGGGCCACTGTGGGGTCTTGGCCGCCCTTCCTGTCTGCCTCTGTGGTCAGCAAACCTTTCTGGTTTGCACTGTTATTCTTGCCACAGCTCAAACCCTGTCCATCTTTTATTGACACGACATTTGTTGTTGCTTTGGAACATGATCTTATACTGCTGCTCAGGCTGGCCTGAAACTGGAACTCAAGGCTAATCCTTGTCCCTCAGCCTCCTAAATGCTGAGTTGTGTGACTACACACTCACCAGGAAGTTCTGATGGAAATGTAACTCCTGGAAAATGATGGACATAGCATTGCATCTGCTGCTAAAAAGCTGTACATCTAAAACTCATAGGTACATTTAGATCCAGAAGTTCATAATGATGGATATTCAAAAGTCATTGGTTACCTTTAAAGGATGCCAGGGAAACAATTATCTGGGGCTTGAGAGATGGCCTTTTTGCTAAAGTAGCTGTTGAGCAAGCCTCAGGATCTGGGTTTAATCGCCAGCACCCAGGTAAAAGAGCTGAGCTTGGTAGGGCGTTCTTAAGTTTGCCACTGGGGAACTGGAGACAAGCAGATGCCAGGGGCTTGCTGGCTAGGCAGTTTAGCCAATGGATGAGCTCCTCCAGGTTCACTGGGAATGTGGATCTCGGAAGAGGGAGAACCCAATGCCAGCCTGTGGCTTCTGCACAGAAACTCGCAGAATGCACAAACCAACTCATTCTGGAAAGTGTTAAAGAGAAAGAAACAAGCACCTGGCTTGCTTTAATGTTAAAATCTGGTCACCAAAGTCAGCAGAAGTGTCAGCGTCCCAGCAGGGACACATCCCGCTAGGCTCAGAGCAGGGAAGGGGCAGGAGCACACAGCAGGTGGTCCAGACTTCCACACGTGTGTGTGTGTGTGTGTGTGTGTGTGTGTGTGTGTGTGTGACGGCAAGAACAAACACACAATAAAATAAATAAATACAACTTAAGAAAAATGGATGATTCCGGCCACTGCGGCTATGTCTAGGTCAGATGGGAATGTTTTGGAAGTCAACTTTCAATTTATTCACATTTATTTTTAGTGACATTTTCTTTGCAAACACCAATTCTAATGCCTTGTCAATGCAAGAGCATTTCTGTGCAAAGTAGTATTGACAGACGGGCTAACGGATGGCTAGCTCAGTGGCTCAGGACACCGGCTGCTCTTCAGAGGACCCAAGTTCAGTTCCCAGTCATCTGGTGGCTCACAGAGGCCTCTAGCTCCAGCTCCAGTAGATGTTCTGCAGGAACATGCACGTGCACTCGCGTGTGCACGCATGTGTGTGCACGCGCACACACATACACACACACACCGCACGCACGCACACACAAATAAATCTTTTAAGTAATATTAATGGAAGCTTCAAAGTAAGCTGGAGCCGGGTGTTGGTGGCGCACACCTTTAATCCCAGCACTCGGGAGGCAGAGGCAGGCGGATCACTGTGAGTTCAAGACCAGCCTGGTCTACAGAGTGAGTTCTAGGACAGCCTCCAAAGCCACAGAGAAACCTTGTCTCAAAAAAACAAAAAAAATAAAATATAATAATAATAATAATAATAAACTGGAGAGAGGGACGAAGCATCCTGCCTTCCTAGCCTCTGATTCCTGACTGACTATGGTGTCTTTAACCCAGGAAAACTTTTTTCAAGCTAACCAGAGGCTAGATTTGGACTGATAAAAACAATAAATAAAACACCACAGGGCCATGGCTGACCTGAAGACCCTGCCCCCTGGTTCCATATGGACAGATCCCCAAGCACCCTGGAAACACAAAGAATTAACTGCCCCTGTGGGTGGGTTTTTAACCTCGCCCCTGCCTCAGGGCCCATCCAACTCACCCCAGCTCTGGGCCTGGACTATACCAGCCCATCGTAGAGGGACAGTGCCTGCACAATGGAGGGGTCGGCCTTGGAACCTTCCTGGAACTCCTGAAGTGTCAGCTTCCCGTCGGCATTCTGCAAGAAGAGAGGCGGTTGAAGATGGTGGTCTGCCCTCAGGGACAGGGGTCTCAAACCCACCCGTGGCTGGTCTCGGTAGAGCTTTCTGAGTCTAATAGCATCCTCGGAGGAGGAAAAAAGGCAGCAGCAGACAGCCCTGGCACTCCTGACCCACCTCTCACAGCCTCTGGGGCACCGTCTGGGAACCAGAAAAAAGCACAGTGATAGGTCCGGGGATCGGATACCAAAGGCATCAACTTAAAGACACCTGCAGCTCTGGGCTTTCATCAGCCAAAGCGACTGTACTGGCTCCTGTCCCACTGTGTATTTTTTTTCGTTTTTTTTAGTTTTGCAAGACAGGGTTTCCCCGTGGCTTTGGAGGCTGTCCTGGAACTCACTACGGAGACCAGGCTGGCCTCGAACTCACAGAGATCCGCCTGCCTCTGCCTCCCGAGGGCTGGGATTAAAGGCGTGCGCCACCACCGCCCGGCCCCACTGTGTATTTTTATTACCATTAATTGTCCAAAATGAGCTGGGCCCAGTTCAAGGCTGGGCTGGGCGACTTACAGAACCTGAAACATACAGAAGGCATTGGAGGCTGGCTCAGTGGCAGAGTGCTTGTGGAGATCCTATCTCAATTCCCAGGGTTTTTTGTTTGTTTGGTTGATTGGTTTTGTTTTACTATCTTATCCAGAGTGATTTTTTTGTTTTTTGCTTTTTCCAGACAAGATTTCTCTGTGTGGCATTTTTCCAGACAAGATTTTTCTGTGTAGCATTGGCTGTTGGAAACCACTCTGTAGACTAGGCTGGCCTCAAACTCACAGAAAATCACCTGCTTATGCCTCCCAAGTGCTGGGATTAAAGGTGTGTGCCACCACCCAGCTAAATTCCAGCACTAGAGGTAGAGATTTGCCATACAAGCATGAGGTCCTGAGTTTGATTCCCAGCACCCATGTCAAAATACCAGGCATGGGGCTGGAGAGATGGCTCAGAGGTTAAGAGCACTGACTGTTCTTCCAGAAGTCCTGAGTTCAATTCCTGGCAACCACATGGTGGCTCACAACCACCTTGAATGTAATCCTGTGCCCTCTGCTGGCATGCAGGCAGAAGACTGTATACACAATAAATAAAATATTTTTAAAAAATACCAGGCATGGTGGCACAGAGTTGTAACCTCAGGGGAGGTGGAGATGGGCCCAGCCCTGTGACTTACTGACTGATCAGCCTAGCTAAAGCAGTGATTCCCAAGTCCCAGTAAGACATCCTGGTGGGCCAGCTTCTGGGAGGGGCACTATACATGCGCATGAGTGTACACATGCACACATTCACACCAGTAGCATAAAAGGGGGTCAATCCTAAGGGTTAGTGCTCCGTGTGCCTTCCTGGGGCCTCTTTTGAAAGGGCATTTAAGTCACCCCTGGAGCAGGCACATCAAGTCCCAGGAGTCCTGAGAAGAAGCCTGGTTAGAATTTATGCCTCAGGTACCACTCACTGCAATTCCAGCAGCAGGGAGGGCAACACCAGGCATCACCCACCCTGGCAAGGCTGATCTTGTGATGGCTGAGAGCCTATACCTGTGCTGCTCAGTGCCCTCCAATCTTCAGGGTCACCCTATAGAGGAGAAGTGCACCTGTCCCTTGTGGTCTGGTAAGGGAACTGGCCTAGTATCACCATCCCAGGAACACCACAATCACACCCCTGTAAATCCAAGGTCTATGGTGTTTCCAAAGCCAGAAGACGTGTGACTACATCAAAAATCAGTTTTGGGGTCCTGCTACAAGAGGGCTGCCGCTGCTTCTGCACTCCGTCTAAAAATTGTCTGGGGACAGCAGGAGCTCAGCTGCACCCGGCCCATGAACTAATCTCCCTTCCTAATTAAGAGTTCATAGCTCTCAGGGCAAGCCTGGTACCATCAGCAGGCAGCAGGCAGCCTGAGGTCTTCTATTCTCATGGAGGCTAGAGAGGCTGTTTCTTCATCGCAGTTTCAAATTTCCACATAAACCAAAGTTATTTTAGTTTGGGGAAAAATGTTTCTGGTTGGGGTACAGCTCAAGCAGAGTACAGGCTTTGTATTTGTACAAGGCCCTGGTGTCACCCTGAGCATCACCAGAAAAACAGAGGAAGGGCATCAGAGAGTCAAAGGACCCGTAGAGTTCTGCAGAAAAGAGACAGAGGGTCTGGGGAGACGTGTGAGTACAGTGCTGACTGCAAGCTTGAAGACCCAAGTTTGATCCCCAGAATCGACATAAAAACCAAGCAAGGTGGCATGCGCTCTAACTCCAGCCCCTGGGCCAGACTGAGGCAGGACTGGCCAGACAGGCTAGCAGAATCTCAGGGAAAGACTTTCCCCGGAAAAGAGGTGGAGAGCGTGTGCACACGACAGAGACACAGACACAAGAGAAAGCGGTTTCTCCCCACACCCCTGGGGTCTGTGGCTAAAACCCAGCAGGTCTGTGAACACAGAGCGGATCAGACCGTCTTCTCATTCCCAGAACCTAGCATGACCATCAGAACCAGTGGCACCCATCCAGGACCTTGTCACACAGCTGCTGCCCACATCAAAGCTTCGATTTGGCTGGGTGTTGGTGGCACACGCCTTTGATCCCAGCACTCGGGAGGCAGAGGCAGGAGGATCTCTGTGAGTTCGAGGCCAGCCTGGTCTACAGAGCGAGTTCCAGGATAGCCTCCAAAACAATACAGAGAAACCCTGTCTCGAAAACAAACAAACAAAAAAAGCTTCGATCTAGGCAGATGGGGATGCCCACTGTGTTTGTGCAGATCTGGGGATGGAGCCCAGGGCCTTGCACATGGTAGGCAGGCCCGTCACCACTGAGCCACACCCCAAAGCTACACCACAGATTCCCTTTAAACCATGCCTCAGAAGCCACAACCCAAAATAATCCGTTTCCTTTTCACTGTAGGAGCAATACTTTTACACTTTGGGGGTCATTATTATGAGAAGTCCGGCTTCTGCAGACTATCAAAGGAGTCCAGGATGAAATAACAAAGGCCAAGGGCCCTGGTTAATTATAAGGGACCTTCCTGGGAAACGCACCAAAAAGTCTGATTGTCTGCCAGCCGCAAGCCAATCCCCCCAAGGATCGGCGGCAAAGTCTGGCCAGGCCCCAAGGTCCCTATGCCCCACCTCACCTTGTCCATCATGGCAAAGATCCGGTCCACCCTCTTCTCGGGTGTGTTCTCTTCTTCCGGGAGCTCCACGGTGTTCCCCTGCCGAGGTCGGTCAATGTGAGGCTGAGCCAGCGTGGCAGCCTTGGGCTTGCGGCTAAGCTAAGCCCTTGCCAGGCGCCAGGGCACTGGGCCAGCCCCTTTGCCTTGGAGCTCACAACTAAGCCCTTGCCTTGACACCCGGGGCTGGTGCCAGTGAGGAGCGAGTCTCTCTCCCATTCTCTAGCCCTGCCCCCTTTCAAAGGAGCATCTCAGCCACCTGATCCCCCCCCACCTCCCGCCCCCCAGTCCCTGCCAGACCCCCAGGCAGGGATGTCCACGGCTACTCAACAAGCAGTACTTGGTTTCCCTGTACTGTCCAGAAACAGGAAAGTGACGCCAGGTTTCCCCCAGGCCCTGTAGACCACAAGTGGCCTCCCTGCCACCCCTACCCTCCTAGGACTCACCCTCTGATGGCCTCCCTGTCACCCTGCTGAGACTCACCACCATCTGGTAAATGGCGTCCACTATGTCCAACATCTCATTTCTGGTGATGTAGCCATCATTATCCAAGTCATAGAGCTTGAAGGCCCCTGTGATGAACCATCCAGGTAGAGGTCACCCTGGCCCAGGGCAGCAGCAAACTTCTCCCCTCCCCCCTCCCTGTGACCCAATACAAAGCCTGAGATGAGGCAGTCCTGCCAGACATCAGGCCAGTGTATACTTATATGAGGGTACATTCACGCACTGGTGTAGCCACGGTTGTAAAATTAACACAGATACAGGAGTTAGACGCAGTGGTTCATGTCTCTAATCTAAGTATTCGGGAGGTGGAAGCAAGAGATCATGAGTTCAAGAACACCCTGGGCTACACAGTGACTTTTTTTTTTTTTTTTTTTTTTGGTTTTTACAAGACAGGGTTTCTCTGTATTGTTTTGGAGGCTGTCCTGGAACTCGCTCTGTAGACCAGGCTGGCCTCGAACTCACAGAGATCCTCCTGCCTCTGCCTCCCGAGTGCTGGGATCAAAGGCGTGCACCACCACCGCCCGGCTACATAGCGACTTTTACACATGTCTGGGTTATGTAGTGAGGATTTGGAAAAACAAGGGTTGGGGCTGTAGTTCAATGGCAGAGCATTTGCCTAGCATGGGCAAGGTCCTGGGCTCAGTCTCCAGTACAGCAAAAATAATAAAAATAACAACTTTAAAAATATGCAGGTATTGGTCTACAGAGACTGAGGCTGTGGAGTAATCCATGGGAGGCAGTGCAGTCCCCAGAGCAGGGCAAGTTGGGAGCGCGGGAGGAAACGGCCAGGCCATGAGACCAACACGGCAGTCGAGCCCTTCACAAATCCCTGACACTGTGGCTCTGCCTCCCCTGTGCCTGACCTCTCATCCTCAGGCTGCCCCGCCCCCCACCGTGGGCAAAAGGAGGAAATTAAAACGATGTATGGGGTGAGCATGACGAAAATCCTCTTCTGTTTCTAAACACAGAAGCCACTATGGGAACAAAAGCACCCACCAACCAGGGCATTCTGCCCATCCGTCCCTCTCCTAGGAAGATCCCTGGGCAACCGCTGTGTGTCAAGGGCCACCCGGGGCATGCACGTGCTTGCTCAGAGGCCTCCCAGTCTTCCTGCTGCAGCCTCTCACGTGAGGTTCTGGCCTGGAGCCCCCTTCCACCACGACAACCCCCTCTGGGCTCGTCAGCTCCTCCTCGAGTGGCTCGGCGGGCACCCCCTGCCCCTGCCTCCCACACAGCATTGAGGAGTTTAGGAACCAAGCCGCTGTGGTGGACTGACAGCCACCACGGCACGGACGCACCCGCCTTCGCCCTGGGCAGACCCTGGATTCCCATCTGGTATCACAGGTGGTGCCCTCAACTGACGCTCGTGAAACCAGTGAGTAAATGAGAGACCCTCAATGTGGCTGAAGACCTGAGTCTAGCGGGGATCTGGACCCTGTGACACCACCCACAGGCGCCACAGTCCCAGTGGGCATCTGCCTTGACCCCACTCTTGTTCCCACCCCCACCCCACCCCTGCAGCCTGTCCCACCGACGTAGCTGTGGACTCTGCCTCGGAAAACCCAACTCCTCCCCCGGGGACCTTTATCCGTCCCGGAAGGGCGGTGTTCTTCCTGCTCTGACCCTGCACAGATGGCCTGGCCTGCTTGCTTGGCCGCATCGGGCCCACCTGCCCAGAGCTCACTGCCAGGCCTCTGGGGATGCCCTGACCTCCCAGAGCCGACTCCATCTGTGGTCACCACTGCAGGTGTCCGGCACCTTCGCCTGTCAAGGGCTGGAGCTACATCCCTCTGGCCTGGTGGGGGACAGGGGACTTACACCGCAGCTTCTCATCCAGGGTCCCCCTCGAAGTCACCGAAAGTGCCTGGATGAACTCAGAGAACTCGATCCTGCCATCCTGAGGGAGACAAAGTGGATGGCTTCGGTCAGCCCAGACCTCACAGGGTGATGATGGGCAGTCGAGAGGCAAGACACCAGTAACTGATGGACGGGGCAAGAGGGGAGGAGGGAGGGGAGGAGGGAGGGGAGGAGGGAGGGGAGGGGAGGAGGGAGGGAAGGGGAGGGGGAGGGAGGAGGGAGAGGATGAGTGAGGGAAGGAGTGAGGGGAGGAGTGAGGGGAGGAGGGAGAGGAGGAGGGAGGGGAGGAGGGAGGGGAGGAGCGAGGGGAGGAGTGAGGGGAAAGAGGAGGGGAGGGGAGGAGTGAGGGGAGGAGGCGGAGCTGGAAGAGAGGCAGGGAGAAGCTGATGCCCGCTGGGCTCAACACACAGCACAGCAATAATGGGGTGCCCAGCAAGGGGAGGGGCTCAGCAGAGAGCTAAGGCTCAGCTTAGTTCTACCTATTTGTTTTACAGAAGAGGAAACTGAGATCCATCTAGAGAGGGTGGAACCACCTCCCACGCCAGACAGGGGAACTCCCAGACTGGAGCACCTAGGGAGAAAGCTGGGACCATGAAAGGGAAGCCACCTGAGTCGCCAGTGCAGAGTCACAGGGATTCCAGGAACACTACGAAGTCAGGAAAATGGTGTCTCGGGACAGTCTGCAAGCCTGGCTACTCCAACCCTGGACAGGCCAGCTGTTGGTTTAGCAAGGCCAGTGCCAGGAAACAGTCACTGTCACACAGTAAGTATTGGAAACTCGTGCTCAGTGGTACTCAGGGAAAGAGCCAGGCACAAAAGTCATACTGTAAGCCTTAATTTGCTCATCTGTGAAATGGGAGGCATTGAAAGTAACAGATGGTCAAGACCAGAATCAGCTACACAGAAAATCGAAGGTCAGCCTGGGTGGCCTGGCTAGGTTTGTTGTTGTTTTGTCTTTTTGTCAATTTGATACAAATTAGAATCTCCCGAGAAAGGCAAGCATGAATTAAGAAAATGGCCCAGGCAGGGAAGTGGTAACACACGCCTCTAATCCCAGCACTTGGGAGGCAAAGGCAGGCAGATCTCTGTGAGCTCGAGGCTGGAGTGGTCTACAAGGGATAGCAAGGGCTACACAGAGAGACCCTGTCTCAAGAACAAAACAAACAGGAAGGAAGGAAGGAAGGAAGGAAGGAGGGAGGGAAGGAAGGAAGGAAGGAAGGAAGGAAGGAAGGAAGGAAGGAAGGAAGGAAGGAAGGGAGAAGAAAACAGAAAAAGGGGTTGGCCTGTGGGGCATTTTCTTAACTAATGACTGCTGTGGGCAGGCCAGCCTTGGGCAGGGTCTGGAGTTATAAATTACTCTCCTCCACAGCCTCTGCTCAGCTCCTGCCTCCAGATTCCTGCCTTGCCTTAGGGGCTGTAACTGGAACCTGAGAGCTGAGATAAACCCTTCCTCCCCAGGTAGCTTTTGGGCATCGTGTTTGTCAAAGCAACGGAAGCCTAAGACCCTGGGCTAAATAAGACACCTGTCTCAAAAAACAACAGAAACATCAACCCCAAGGATGGCTCTCAGCCTTGTCAATCACACCGTGAACACCAGTTACAACCAGTATGCGTAAGAAAACTCACATATATGTACGTGCGTGTGCACACCATGCCTTCATAATTTTGTGCAGCTCTCTGTGTGTTTGCATGTGTAAGCCTGTGCATTTGTGCACACGGAGCACTGAGTGTGTCAGTCACACAAGTGAACACGTTGTGTGGGTGGGTATGCCACATGTAACTTCCGTGTGCCACTGAGCACATGAACGCTCAGTCCCGGGTGGGGAACCGTGCAGGGACAGTGAGTTCGCAGTGCTACGGAGCCTCCTGCTGCAGGCTGCAGCAGCCGGAGGAGCCCAGGGCTGGGCCAGGCACAGAAGCCTGCGGCTCACCTTGTTCTCGTCGAAGACGTTGAAAACAAACGTGGCGAACTTGGTGGGGTCTCCGAACGGGAAGAACTGTTTGTAGATCTTCTGGAAGCCAGCCGCGTCCAGCTGCCCGCTGGGGCAGTCCTTAATGAAGCCCTTGTACCTGCAGACAGCATAGCAGTTGGCGGAGAACCAGGAGCCTCTGCCAAAGACCCAGGAAACCTATGAACCCCAGTTCCATGACACCGGTAACAGCGTCACACGGTCTGATGAGCATGGACCCAGATGTCACAGGCATGGGCTCACGCCTCTGCCTCTCACTGGCCTGTGACCTTGGGCAAATGCTCACATGGATACAGGAAATCAGAGGTAACACAGGAGTTCACCTGGACATGGCACGCTGTGCACTCGGCCTGTCAATCGACACTCCTCACACAGAAGCCAAATGAGTCACCAAATGACCTCCAGGAAGCCTCCCTCACTCATGGCCCCACATAGAGTGGCTCCTGGCTCCTGTATGGCCCTACCCCGTCCCTGCTCTAAGGGAGTAGAGCAGACACCCACTGGGACCGCATGCGGGGCCCAGAAGGCCCTGTGTACTCCACCTGGACATGCCCACCTTTGCCCCTGTACCCAGCACAAGACCCTCCCAATACTGACCACTGAGAGTATGGCTGGAGAGGACAAGCCTCGGTCCACTAGCTCAGCCGTTCACCCGCTGTGCAACCCTAAGCAAATGCCTTCACCTCTCTGAATGCTCATGTACGAGGAACAACGGTTGTCATCTTACTAGACTTGGGTGACATGGTGCGTGTGCTCTTGGGGCCTGATATTTAAAACTCACAGTATTCACTCTCCAATATCAGACAATGCTACAAAGTGTGTAAAACAGTCCCCAGTATGACCGTCAGCACACCGAAGTTCACTGCGTGTGGCTTTAAGCTGGTGTCTGCGTGTGATAGGCAGGGCATGCTTTCTTCTAAGGACCATTTCTCCCACACTAGACAACTAGAGCTGTCCTCAAAGTGGAGGATTCTGGGAGTCAAGGGCTAGAACCCTGCTGTGACACTGTGACTCCTACCCAGAGAGGCAGTCAGTGTTATGAGAGGCAGGGCGATGATCCCATCTTACAGATGAGGCCAGCCCAGCTGTTCAGTCACTCACAACCTAAGCTCTTGGAATGCCTTGTCCTGTGTCTGTTGCTCTCTGCCTGACGGTGTGTCCCCACATCAATCCAGTATGGAATTTCTCCAGATCCACAGAGGTCTCTGCATTCTGGCCCTGCAAGTCTCACAGGTCTGCTTGGCCCTGGCAACCCTGGGTTCCTGTGACCCCTGGCAACGGGCCACACACCAGAATGAAGCAAAGTGGGGCTGTGAGGGGCATGGACACTGGGGCTGAGCTTCCTTACCGGAGCCAGATGAAAAGAGTTTTAGGTTGGTTCATGACCCCCAGCCCCAAAGGCAGACTCCGGAATCCAAGGGAAAGATACACCCACTGCCCAGCTGACCCCTCCTACATCTCTACCATCCGGCTAGCTTCTCTCCAGTGCTGCCTGCCATGCGAAGGACCGTGACAATTATTTAAAAAAAAAAAATGAAAATGCTAGAACGCCTTTAATCCCAGGAGGCAGAGGCAGGCAGACCCCTGTGAGCTCGAGGCCAGCCTGGTCTACAGATCGAGTTCCACGACAGTCAGGGCTGCACAGTGAGACCCTGTCTCAAAAATGAATAAAGATGAAGCAAAGAAAAAAAAAGGTGAAGCTGTCTCCTGAGCCCAGCCCAGAGGGCCCGCAGGAGGCCCAAGGGAGGCAGCTCCCTGGTGGGGGAGGCGCCCCACACTGCACCAGTCACTGGCACTGACATCAGCTACAGGGGCTGGTGGCAGAGTGCCAGTCTCTACTGAGTATCTAGTTAACCCCCGCAGAGGCTGTGCCACTGAACCCCACCCCGTCAACAGGAGGCTGGAGAAGCCGCCCCACGAGGTGTCGCTGGAAACCCAGGAGGGGTGGCAGCCCGCACAGAAGTCCCCATCATGTAACTTCCACCACCCCTTGGTGCTCAGTGCCCCGGGTCCTGTAAGCTCTGCCACCGTGACAGGCCCTAGATGTCAACCTGTCTAACCAGGCTAGGGTAAGAGTCCTGCCCCACCCCTAGCCAAAGCCCCCACGATGGACACACTTCACTCAGCACTGGCTACAAATCCCAACGGGCCTGAGTCTGACAGCCTGTACGTGGCCTGGTGTCTGACACACACCCAGCAGCTGTGTACCCAGAGAGCTGTGAGCACACAAGACTCCGGGTGGGGCTGACAGCAGAGGAGCCCAAGTGTCCAGGTCCCTTTTCTGAGCTCCATTGCACAGGATCCTCTAGACGCCTTAGCAGAACCACAGAGCTCGGTGGACACGGTTAGCAAGCCAACTGTGTGTGTGTTGGGGGCGGGGACTAGCACTGGGGCCCAGAGAAGGAGTGATACCAGCCCAAGGTAACCCTGTCTATTAGCAGAGGCGGGGCCCCTCCCTTCCAGCCTCCCCACCTCCCGGTCTCTTCTCCGGGAAGAGATCCAGGCTGCGCCACCCCCATGCCAGCGGCTGGGAAAGCGATTATACCCAAACATTATATAACCCCACTATTCACCCTCCTCAAGTGGAGGAGGTGCCTCCCTCCACAAGAATGGTGAGGGGGAGGCCTGAGGCTCTCTGGCCACTGGCTTGCTTCCAGTCCCCTAATCTACCCTGCAAACTGTCACCTTGAAGGGGGGGGGTTGCCACCTTTTGCTTTTATGCACCACTGGCTGGCTAGGGAGGGGGCTCCATGTTGGTGGACGGCCTGCCTCACAGTCCCCGCAAGACCACACAGGACAAATCTTCCCACTCCAGGCCAGGGCTAGCTGCCACCAAGCCAGGCCTTCCCCCTCTCAGATTCTGCTGGGTCAGTGCTGCTGCTGGTACACCTGCCAGTCGCCAGAGCGTGTGAATCTGTGCTCCTAGCCCCAGTCTGGAGGGCTAGAGGATACACCCCACTGTGCCTCAGTTTCCCTAGCCCCCACCCATGGAGGTGTTCTGGGCACTGGTGTATAGCTAAAAGTGTCCCTGGCTAGTAGCATCCCCAGCCTCCGCCTCCAGACACTGGGGAGTCACACTTAGGCTGAAGACAAAGTGGCCTTTGGAGACCCTAAACTCAGGGAGATCTACAAATGTCTGGCTTGCCTGGGCTCCAGGAATATCAGTTGTCCCTTACGATGCACTTGCTGGGGGCCAAGCATTGGGCCTGAGCTCTTCAGGCATTATTTTGCCAAATTATCCAAACAAGCCCAGGAGGCGAGGACTGTGGTGCCCATTTGCTAGACAAGGAAACTGAGGCTAGTGGAGGTAGCTATTCCCGCTGCTTAGAGTTGCTCCCCCCAACCTGGCTGCCTCCTCTGGGGGAAGGCCCCACCTCAGCTCACCCAGCACACACAGAGTCCTGTTTCCCCCGTTCCTGGGGTTGGATCTGGTGGCAGCTCTCAGTTATGACTTGGGATCGTCACTTACGTAGCAGCAGACGGCTCATGGCTCACGACAGGAGTAGTCCTGAATCTTCGAGGACCCCTGGCTCTTAGTGGATGCTGAACGGAGTCCATTGTCTAGCAACTTTGATGGTCAGCCCTGGAGCCTAGACTCCACAAATGAGGTAGGGACAGGAAGAGGGCTGTGTCTCCTGAGTCCTGCTCACCGCTTCTGTGACCTGGGATGGTTAGTGAGGACTGGAAGCTCTTGGCTCTGCACCTCAGGATAAGAGTCCTCACCACCACAGGCTCGGATCAGGCTGGGGAGAGGGGCAGAGGGGGCAAAGGCGGCCCACAGCCACAGTCACAAGAGGTCACTGAAAACTGGTACCTCAGGTGACTGTCACTGCCAATGCTTCAGGAAGGAAGTCTCACTGCCGAGAGGACAGTCTACCACACAGGCTCCAACTTCATACGGAAGGCAGGAGTGGGCAGTGGGGGCGGGGCTCCTGATTCTCATCACCGTCACTTTCATGACCTTGGGTCTCTAGGCTTTGCTGTTTGGTGGATTTCACTGGACACACAGGAACTTGGGGATATTAAAACACGGCTTCAAGACAGGTGAGGTGGCACCCTGTCACCCGGCACTATAAAGGGGAAGGCCATCCTTTTCTACATAGTGAGTTTGAAGCCAACCTGGGCTATATAACCCCACCACCACCCCCTCACCTGGCTTGTTCTTGAGCAGCTTGAACACACCTGCCTGCTTTGAGTGTGTGGAAACCAGGGTCAGGCACCTTCCTCAGCTGCTCTCCACCTGACTTTTTGTCAGGGTCCCTCACTGAACTTGGCACTCACCAACTGGCTAGCCAGCAAGTCCCAGGGGTCCTCGACCCCATGCCTCCCCACCCCAGACACATACTGCAAGATGCGTCTACTCCTGCTTTATGCATATGAGCGTTTTGCTTGCCATGTGTTAAGTGTACCATGTATGTGCCTGGTGCTGAGAAAAACCGAGGGAGCCGGATCCCCAGGAACCAGGGACACAGACAGTTATATGCCATCGTGTGAGTGCTGGGAACCGAACCCAGGACCTCTGCAAAAGCAAGAAGTGCTCCTAACTGCTACGCCAGATCTCCAGCCTGAGCCCAGCATTGTGCATGGACGCCGGGGACCTGAACTCGGGTCCCTACTCTGCTGAATGAGCATCTGCCTGAATCTCAGCTTCGACGTCTTTTTCATTTGTTTGTTTGTTTGTTTTGCTTTCTCAAGACAGAGTGTAGCCCTGTCTGTCCTGGATCTCACTCTGTAGACCAGGCTGGCCTCAAACTCACAGAGATCCGCCTGCTTCTTCCTCCAGAGTGCTGGGATTAAAGGTATGCGCCACCATTGCCCAGCTTCACTATTTTTCTTAGAGGAGGGCTCTAGCTTCTAAGGCAAACCTGAACTTGTCCTGGGTCTCTTGGTCCTTGTATATGACCCTAAACAGGTGACTCTGTCTCACTGAGCCTCGGTTTCCCCGTCTCTGAGGTGAGAAGCCCATCTAACATTTGCCTTAAAGGTCCCTGAGCGAGCTGGGGCAGACAGCACTACAGATAAAGGACACTCGGCAGGCAGCCAGGACCTCCCACACACGCTTGACCGCACCCACACATGCGCACACGTGTGGCAGACAGGCCAGGACAGACAGAGCTACCTTCCACCCAAGCCTAGTACACAAATTGCAGGGCAGGAGGGTTCCAACCATGTGACACTGTGCTCAGGATGTGGCCAAGCTGTGTTAGGGGACCAGCTCTTTGTGATGGGGGTGAGGACACGAAAAGATGCTCCCAGAGGTGACAACTGCATTCTTAAGGTGGGAGGCAGGGAATCTATCACCTTCCAGAAATCCCAAAGGCTGTGACTGCCACTTCTGAATCACGCCCAGTGGGGTGTGTGCGTTCAGCAGCAAGGGAATGAACGCAAGGTGAATGGTGTTTGCTGTGACACAGATTCCAGTGGGGCCTCTCAGGGTCCCTGGGCCAGGCCCCACACCACACAGGCCTTGGTCTCCCATCTGCCACACACCCGGGCCAGCAAGGATACCTGGAGAAACTTGTCCTGAGGACCTTGCAGGGAAACTGTCCCTGTCCTCTCCATGCCTCCACAATGAAGGCAGCTTCTACTACCCAAGGAGCAGAATCACAGAGATCAGTAGCTACATGGATGAACGGTGGGGCGGAACAGGCTGCCGTCAGCCGCCACAGCTGGGAGGGGTGCAGAGAGGCCTCCCGGGGAGAAACTGCTCCTTCTTGTCATCTCTTCAAAGGCCCCCCTCTGCCTGGGCTCACCCCTACCTCCCCACAGCTCCCTGAAGAAGAGGGTCCCCTCCCCCTTCCCTTCCTTCGGGGCTTGCAGTTTCCTGGGTCCCTCACAGCAAGGAAACAATATATATGAGCCCCCAAATGCTGGAACAAGAATGAGAAACAAGCTAGGCCCAAACCACCTCCGCTACCACGCACGCGCGCGCACACACACACACACACACACACACACACACACACACACTCGCAAAGCTGTGTGGCCCAGGCGAGTGTCTCCACCTCTCTGAACCCATGTCTTCACTGTAAGATAAGGGTACTCCTAGGACTCAGGATTCTCTGCAGGGTGCTAAGTGTTGGCACAGCACCTGCCCACAGAAGACCGGGGGACAAGAACGAACCCGGCTCCTCACCACAGGGGCGTGGGATGCTTCAGCGGGCCCTGCCGAGGCACTTGAGATTCCCTTCCGGTCTCCACCAGCTACATTGTTACTGTACTGCCAGGATGTTTAGCAATTATAAAATAACCAAACAAGAGAACTTGGACAAGAGAAGATACAAGGGGAGGAAGAACCCACAACCCACAGTCCTGCCACCGACCACCCACCCGGATGGCTCCCTTCCCTGCCTGCTTTGTAGCCTGGATCTGAGCATCTGCGAAACTGTTATTTCCACCCAGCACGGTGTCCTGGTCACCTTCTGGGACACTGCGAGCTTTGGTACCCGTGGTATTCCTCAGCCAGCCCCTACTGTGCCTCTGACCTCCCACAAGGCTGAGGCAAGCTCTGTGGACAGTGGGACCTAAGACCAGAGCCTGGGACACAGGAAGGCTGCAGGCTGAAGGTGACCCCGCCCCTTGAGCCTTGGGACCTTTTTCGGCTGCAAAAGAAAAGACACTGTCAGGGCTACCTGGGGCTGGGGACTGGGTGATGGGTTCCCCGCTGGCCCAGGTACCACCCCCCAACCCAGGTCTCGAGTTCCAGTCCTGATTCCTCTAGTTCTGTCTGCATGGCAGGGCCAGCATCACAGGGGGCCCCTGAACAGCGGCTGTCAGACATCAGTGCAAAACAAGGTGATTCTGTGTGGTGCTGGAGACGGGGAACCTCTCCTCTGAGACCTGACCAACAGCTGAGTGTGGGGTGGCGGGACTAGAAGAGACAGCAGCAGAGATGATGGCTCCAAGGGGGCACAGGTTGGGCCTGGGTGAGGGCAGGTGCCTGAGGAGCCGCAGCAAGGGGTGGGATGGGGTCTGAGGCAGACCCAAGGGCCAGGGCAAGGAGCTGAGCCTTGAGCAAGCTTCGAGAGACCAGACCATCTGGCTCCACCTCCAGGTCTTCTGGCACTGGCTGAGGGATAGGGGCAAGGAGCATGAGAGTCACTGGGGACAGTGACCACATGGGAAAGCCCCCCTGGGTTTGGGCCAGTTGTTCAGAACAGGGAAAGCTGTGAAAGGGTCTGGGGCATTGGGGTCACGGAACAGGAGGGACTGTAGGTCCCTGATCTAACTTCTAACCCAGCAGACTTGTGGACGAAGTCCCAAGATTTAAAAAAAAAAAAGAGTTTTCAGTCATCAAGAAATAAGTGGACTCATAGCTGGGCGTTGGTGGCGCACGCCTTTAATCCCAGCACTCGGGAGGCAGAGACAGGCAGATCTTTGTGAGTTCGAGACCAGCCTGGTCTACAAGAGCTAGTTCCAGGACAGCCTCCAAAGCCACAGAGAAACCCTGTCTCGAAAAACCAAAAAAAATAAATAAATAAGTGGGCTCATTTTGTGTGATAACAATTCTTTTTGTCTTTTTTTTGTAAAGATTTATTTATTATGTATACAGTGTTCTGTCTGCATGTACATCTGCCCACCAGTAGAGGGCACCAGATCTCATTATGGATGGCTATGAGCCATCATGTGGCTGCTACGAATTGAATTCAGAACCTCTAGAGGTTCAGCCAGTGCTCTTAACCTCTGAGCCATCTCTCCAGCCCTGTGTGTGGTAACAATTCTATAACAGTCCACAACACTGGAGACTGGTCAGATGCCACTATCTGTGACCCATTACTGATGTCTGTCTACAGAGTGGTAGGGTGCTTCCTGCAGGGACAAGCCTGAGTCAACCAGTCAGGAAGCTCTGGGGAATGGGGCACTGGAGAAACTCCCAGCTTCAGGCTGGGGTGGGGCTCCGCAGTGATAGACCTAGCAGGGGGAACTCAGAACTGCATACCCTTTACCCAAGGTGGTGAGGGGTTTAGCAGAAGCCTGTTTGCAGTGTCCAAGTGAGCTCCCAGCAGGAGGCAGGGAGATAGGGAGATGTACAGACAGAAACGCTAGGAAGACAGAATGGAGACGGGCTCAGAACATGGACCACTGAGGCAGGAAGACCTGGAAACTCCTGGAATATTCCTGTAGGACGTGGGTAAGTAGTGACTAACCAGAGATTGGTCATTCCCCCCCCACTCCCAGCCCCCCCCAAACTCTGCACAGTGTCAGCTTCTCCCCACACCTCCAACTCCCTTGCCAGAATCCAGCCAGCTCATGATGCTGGCTCTGCCCACCTAGCCAGATCTTCAGTGAGAGCCAGCAGAGCCAGGAAGGCTGGCCCTTTCTGTAGCATGGAATCTGGTGTGCAAGTTTGGGAAGCAGTCCTAGAGATCTGGGTTCTGCTCCCCTCAAACACAAAGGTCTCCAAGCTCACTTCCTCCCTTCCCTCCCCTCCCAGGGTTCAGAGTGAGAGCCTCTCCTGTCTGCATCCATATTACACTGTGACAGACACTGCCTGCTGCTCTCTTCCCCCTAGGCCCAGGGCAGGCAGCACTAGCTCAATGCAGATTTCATTAATTCCTCACTGCTGAACTTTCTACCTGCTCCATGACATGTCACTTTAGAATTTTTCTTAACACAGTGTTTCAGATAGCTGCTACAGACTGACAAGAGCCACCCTTCATATAGTAGTCTCTCTCTCTCTCTCTCTCTCTCTCTCTCTCTGTCTCTCAGGGTTTCTCTGTGTAGCGCTGGCTGTCCTGGAACTCACTCTATAGACCAGGCTGGCCTAAAACCCAGAGATCTGCCCGAGTCTGTCTCCCGAGTGCTGACATTAAAGGTGTGCACCACCACTGCCTGTTCATCTAGTATTTTCTAAAGGATGCCAACTGAGCCCCAGAGCAGAGAAGAGTGTTCTCGAGGCCCAGAGTGATTCCGTGACGAAGCCAGCACCGGATCTCAGCCTCCTGACTTGTGTCTCACGTGTGGTGAGCAGGGTCTTCGTCATTTTACCTTTACTCTATGTGATGGGTGCTTGCCCGCTTGTATGTCCGTGTTACCACGTGTGCGCCTAGTGCCCAGAAGAGCATGTTGGAACTGGAGTTACAGACAACGGTGAGCTGAGATGTGGGTGCTGGGAATCTGACCCAGGTCCCCCTGGCAGAGCAGTCAGTGCTCTAACCACTGAGCCATCTCTCCATCCTCTGAGTCTTAATGGGTACCACAAAGTGGGGCTGGGGAGATGGCACTGTCGGCAAGGTACCTGCCAGGCAGGCATGAGAATCCGAGTCTGGGTCCCCAGCACCCATGGAAAACGCTCAATGTGGTGGCATGCACTTATAACCCCAGTACTGGGGACATTGAGGAAGCAGAGATAAGGGCTCTCTGGAGCAATCTGGACAGTCAGCCTAGTCAGATTGGAGAGCCCCAGGCAGCAGTGAGGGACCCTGTCTCAAAAACAAATTGGCCAGGTGGTGGTGGTAGTATGCGCCTTTAATCTCGGAACCTGGGAGGCAGAGGCGGGTGGATCTCTGTGAGTTCCAAGCCAGCCAGGGCTACGTAGTGAGGTCCTACCCCACACAAGCAAACCAGGGAGAGGGCTAGAGAGACGGCTCCGTGGTCAAGAGCACTGACCGCTTTTGTAGAGGAGAAAGCTTGGCTCCCAGCACCCATGTGGCAGCTCCCAGGCACCCGTAACTACAGTCTGAGGGGACCCAACCCTTATCCTGACCTCCGCAGGTCCTGCATGCATACGGTACACATGCAAACATGCAAACAAAACACTCAAGGAAAATAAAAACCAATAAATCATTACAAAGGGCAGAAAGAACCCACAAAACAACAAACCCAAGGGCGGAGTCACTGCTCTCCCCCAGCCTGTTCAGGGGACACTGCACAGCCCCACATGACTGAACTGGGCGTGGATGTCTGCCTCCGGGACCCCTCCCTGTCCCACAGACCGCTCGCTTCGGACCCCATAAGCAGCCCACGCCCACCCCAGCACACAGTAGCTCCCACTACTCACCACTGCTGGACTTCCTTCTCGGTGACTGCAAGAGAAAAGAAGATTAAACTAAACGTGAGAAGGGGAGTCCCAGGACACAGGCATTTTCTGGGGCAGGGGCTCCCTCCCATCTCTTCACCACAGGCTGCCTTCCCCACACGACTGCCAGCCCTCACTGAATAAGAAAATGCACCCCTAGTGAACAGTGGGTGAGCAATCTGCAGGTGCTCACCAGCCCAGGAGAAGGCGGAACGCCCAACCTTCCCCAGGGCCACCTCTCAAACACCTTCAGACAGCTGGGTCCTCTCCCGGCTCAGGAAGGCTGCTTAAGATACATTCTTTCAGCCAGGTGTGTGACGTGTGCCTTTAATCCCAGAACTTGAAAGGCAGAGGCAAGCAGTTGAAAGCCAGCCAGAAAGGATGTCCACATCCTTTTTCACTCAGTCCTAGGACAGGACGGCCAGAGTGGACGTTGCTTCCAGGCCTGGGATGGGGCAAGGAGCTGCCCAGAGCCCAGCAGCCCCACCTCCTCGCTGCCCTGCAGCCCTCTCAGTGGACAGTCCAGGTCCTTACTCTCAAGATATGACTGGACTGGAAGCGGAAATGAGCCACATAAGCGGCTGAAGTTCAGCCAAGCCCAAGTCTTCACTGAACCCACAGAATGAATGAAACCAGCTTTTTGATTTCCTGCAAAGTATTGAATCGGCTTGAGCTGAAACCAAAGCAAGCTTTCCGACCTCTCACCAAATGAAACCATCAAACCACCTTCAAAGCGAGGCGTGGTGGCGTACTCTTTCAGTGGGGAGCAGAGGCAGGAGGATCTCTGCGAGTTTGAGGTCGGCCTGGTCTACAGAGCGAGACCCTGTCTCAAACAATCAAAACCCTTCAAGGCCACAAGCTCCCTGTCTGGGTGACCACAAGGGGAGATTATTGGGCTCCCTGTGCCTCAGTTTCTCCGTGTAAAGCAGGTAGAGAAACAGTACCTGCCTGGGAACTGTCCTAACGGACGCAGACAACCCTGGCTCCCGATCACAGCACTCAGGTGAGCTCAGTATAGTGATGATAAATGATCGGAGAATGGCGGTCTACAAGTCCGTGTCAGGCCGCAGGAGAGAATGGAGCTGGGATATCTTCCCAGGAGGTAAAGGTCGCAGGCTCAGGGAGACCCCTCTACAGGAAGTGCTCCAAACAAACGTAAACATAGCATCAACTAGCACCCCCCCATCTGTGCTGTGACTCAGCCCCAACCCCCAGCGGTCCCCAGGTGGGCATGGCAAGCTGCAAGAGGCTGAAAAGCAGCAGGTAGTGCTTTAGACCTGAGGTCTTGGCTGGGGACCCAGGGTCGGAAGCCTGGACGGGCTGGAGGCCGTCATGCCTCCTCACCTGAACCCTTCCCTCGTGGATCCTGGGGGCCACTAACCCAGAGCAGTGAGCTAACAGAGACTGGCTGTGCAGCAACATTTACAGGAGCAGATTCTGGCAGACAATACAATGTAGGAGGTGAGGCATGGGGATGCAGAGGGAGGAGACTGAGGAACAGTCCAGCTGTTGTCCTACTTTGGTATCTCTTGCTGTGACAAGATACTGGGCAAAAGCAATCTGGCTGGGGAGGAAAGGGTTCATCTCATCTTAGAGCTTACAGTCCATCGAAGAGGGCAGTCAGGGCAGGAGCTCCAGGCAGGAACCTGGAGGCAGGAACCTGGAGGCAGGAACTGAAGCAGAGGCCACCAACACTGCTAACTGGCTTCCTCCCCAAGGTTTGTTCAGCCTGTTCCCTTATACCGCCCAGGACCCTCTGCCCAGGAAGGGTGCTACCCACCATGGACTGACATTCCACATCAGCCACCAATCAAGAAAATGGCCAAAGTTTTGCCTGCAGGCCAACCTGGCGGAGGTATTTCCTTAGCTGAGGTTCCCTCTTCCCAGATGACTCTAGCATATGTCAAGTTGACAAAAACAAACAAAAAACCCAACCAGCCCACCAGGCTAGGCTGTGCTGAACTGCCCGGGACCTGCCACCCCAACATCTCAGGGTGTAGCTGATGCAGACGGAGGGACCTCGGGGCTCTGGGGTCAGACCTGAACACCCGAGCTCCAGGCCAGACACCAGGCTTATGAGCTGGGTGCGGCTCAGAAGACAGCTTCCCTCTCTAAGCCCTGATTTCCTCATCTATACTCAGACTTGCTGTCCTTCACAAGAATCACAGGCAGGTGGGGCAGGTCTACCTGTCAGGTCTGGGATAGACACTACCTGAGGTCACTGTCCCAAGAGATGGGTGGTGCCTACAGGGCTCAGAATGGAATGCTACTTCCAACCCCTGAGGCAGCCACTGAGCTATATGACTTCATGTGCAAGGAGTGGCACCTGGACCATGCAGGGCCTTTGGTGACCTCAGCTAGGTCTCATGAGGCCAGAGATGCACACCTGGGGGACCCTGATGTCTCGACTTCCTGCCTACAATCTTCCAAAGCCTGCCCAGGACTGCCACCTGGCAGAGGACCTTCCCTGCCCTCCCTAACCCATTACAGCCCCAGAAACTGCAGGTGGTTTGCTAAGGTATGGTCTGCTGTTCTTCACCAGAATGGTCCCTAACGCAGGACACTGAGTGACCGGCAGGCAGCCAAGCCTCTGGGATGTGGAATGAGGTTGAGGAGAGAAGCCTTACCTAGTTTTAAGCAACTACTTTAGCTTTGTGACACTTGAAACTTCCAAGTGTCCCCTGCCTCTGAGATTCCTAGAGCCTCAGAGGACCCTGAGGGTGGCAGTCAGGGAAGCTCTCGGGGCCTGGCCACCCAGCCCAATCCTGCCAACTAGAGTGCTTGGAGGTGTGCACAGTCTACACTGGGGAAATTAGCAACAGAGGGAGACACTCTAGGCACGGGCAAAGGGGTCCCTGTAGTTTCAGCTGCTCCTGTGTATGTTCCGCTTTGAGGAGCTGCCCTATCACTTGCCCCAAGATCCACTGACTCTCCAAGCTTTTTAAAGATTTATTTTTACTTAAGTGTATGTGGGGGAGGGCAGTCAGAAGAGGGTCTCTGAACCAGGAGTTACAGGCTGTGGTGAGCTACCATGTGGGTGCTGCGGATTGAACCTCGGGACCTCTGCAAGGGGCCAGTGCTCTTAACCACTGGTCCACTGTCCGACCATGGATCCCTGTTTCACTGCCTCTGTTTCTGCTCACTTTTCTAGCTCTCCCCTGCTCTAAGCTATATTGTCCACAAAACTCCCTGAGCCGTGTGCTTGTGGCTTAGTTCCCCAAACGCAACAAAAGGTAACAACTAAGTGATAGGGGTGTCCTTCTGTAAATGTTCCTCTTATTGGTTGATGAATAAAACACTGCTTGGCCAATAGAGACCGGGAAGATAGGATGTACCAGGTGTTCTCTTCTAGTGAGATAAGACCATATAGAAATACATAGATTAGTAGTTATGGGTTAATAATTAAGACAGAGCTAGACTATAAGAAGCCCTAGTCTAGTTTTATAATTAATATCGTGTCGTGTGTTTATTTGGGGCTGAAAGCAGACAGCAAGAGCAGGCAGGACAGGAAAACTCCAGTAACAACTCTGCTCAAGGTCATGTAGCGAGATGACAAGGGTTGGGGTGCTGAGAGATAGATCAGCCATTAAGAGCACTCACTGCTCTTACAAAGGACTTAGCTTTGGTTCCCAGTGCCCAGACAGTGGCTCACAATTGCCTATGTGTCATTCCACAGGATCTGATACCTTTTTCGAACCTCAAGAGCTCCTACAATACACATGGTGCACAGCCACACACACACACACACACACACACACACTCTCTCCAAAAGATGACATTTGGTACCCTGGATTGAGCATAATTAAGGACATGTTACCCATGGCACTTGCCTGTCAAATGACCCTGAGTCTAATCAAGAAGCCATAACTGGACTAATCCGGAAAGTGGGATGATACTAGACCATCAATCCTGCACCTTCAAATCAGAGCCACTAAAGCCCAAAGAAGCCAGAGGAAGATTCTTGGGAAAGAGGCTGAACTCAGGCATAACTCACCCACACTGGGCTGGGGTGGAGCTGGGGGTCAGGAGGGCAGAAGCCGATGGCCCAGGGCCTCTTCAGGGTCCACGGGTAGCGAGTGACTGAAGACACTGCTGTCCTGGGAGCTGTGCCCAAGTGCTTAGAGGTAAAGGCTGGGATGCTGCTGAATAGGAGGGAAGCAAGGTCCCTTGGGGGAAGCCGGCTGCGGTGGGGCAGGGACAGGGAAGGGCCTGAAGGCAATGACTCTTTGCCCACAGTCTGTGTGCCCCCACAATGTATGGAGGGCCAGGGGGCAGCCTGGGTCCTATGTGCCTAGGATCAGATCACTATGGGCACTTGGAAAGAGCAACTTCCCTCTGCTTCAGCCTTGGGACTGAGGGGAGCTTCCCAGGGTGCAGCTCCCAACTCCTCCCATCCTTCTTACCATCCTTCTCACAAAGCCCCCAACCAACCGTGAAATCAGCAGGGCCTCCTGCCTCTGGATTCCCTCCACATCCAGGCTCAGGGCTTAGCACTCAGTGTTCAGGGCTCAGGGCTCAGGCTCAGGCTCAGGCTCAGGGCTCAGGGCTCAGGGCTCAGGCTCAGGGCTCAGGGCTCAGGGCTCAGTGTTCAGGGCTCAGGCTCAGGGCTCAGGCTCAGGGCTTAGCACTCAGGGCTCAGGGCTCAGGGCTCAGGCTCAGGCTCAGGCTCAGGGCTCAGGGCTCAGGGCTCAGTGTTCAGGGCTCAGGCTCAGGGCTCAGGCTCAGGGCTCAGGCTCAGGGCTCAGGGCTCAGGGCTCAGGGCTCAGGCTCAGGGCTCAGGGCTCAGGGCTCAGAGCTGAGGAGTACCAGTGACCTTACACAGGCAGCCCCCAGCCAACACCCCAAATCAATGAGTTCCCTGAGTGTCCTATTGTCTCACCCTTGGTCACCAAATGACCCATGTCCATCTTCCACAGCTGTCGTTGTTTGAATGAAATGGCCCCACTGGTTCATAGAGAGTGGCACTTTTAAGAGGTATTGCCTTGCCGGGCGTTGGTGGCGCACACC